TCCTTCTTTCCTCCCTTCCCCCAAGGAATTTATGTATTTATTTTCTTTAAAATATATTTTTATTTTATTTCATTAAATATTTCCCAATTACATGTAAAAAATTTTTTAGCAATCCTTTCTTTAAATTTTGAATTTTAAATTCCTCCCTCCGTCCTGCCCCTTCCTTGAGAAAGCAAGCAATTGAATATCAATTTTATACATGTACAGTCATGCAAAACATATTTCTATATTAGCCTTATTGCAAAAGAAAACACAGTAAAAAAAAAAAGTTAAATAAAAAAACACAGTTTAAAAACTGTTTCAATCTGCATTCAGACTCCATCAATTCTTTCTCTGGAGGTGGATAGAAATTTTCATCATGAGTCCTTTGAATTGTCTTGGATCATTGTATCTCTGAAAAGAGCTAAGTCATTCACAGCTGATCTTTACACAATGTTGCTGTTATTATGTACAATGTTCTCCTGGTTCTGCTTACTTCTCTTTGCATCAGTTCATATAAATCTTCCCAGGTTTTTCAGAAACATCCCCCTAAGCATTTCTTTTTTATTTTATTTTATTTATTTATTTTTCGGTAAGATAATTGGGGTTAAATGACTTGCCCCAGAGTCACACAGCTAGTGTCAAGTGTCTGAGGCCGGATTTGAACTCAGGTCCTCCTGACTCTAGGACTAGTACTTTATCCGTTGTGCCACCTAGCCGCCCCCTCCCCTCAGTATTTCTTACAGCACAATACTATTCCATCACAATCTCATACCACAACTTGTTCAGCCGTTCCCCAATTGATGAACATCCCCTCAATTTCCAATTCTTGGCCACCGCAAACCAGCCCTCCTTTCTTAAGGGCTGCCCTCCCTGTCTTGATAGGAGGGTGTTTGTCTGCACGGACATGGGCGTGTTCGTGTGTGCACACGTGCTCAGGGCACACTGGCTGACGATGGTCAACCTTCTCTCTGGGATCATAGAAGAGATGGACCTGGTGGGCAGCGCCTTCTGTTGGCAGCTTCTCGGCCAGGAGAAGGGGCAGAGGGCATTCTGGGTAGTTCCGAAGAAGGGTGAGGAGATAGGAGCCCAGCACGTTGCTGCCCAAAGGTTGCTCCTAGCGAAGCAGAAAGGGGCACTGCCTCCCGGGACAGGGGTAGGGGAGTCTGGAAAGATCAGAAGCCTCTAGGAGTCCAGAGAGACCTGGCACTGAGGCTAAGCGCCACCGCCACCTCGGTCATCTTGGGGTGATAACTTCTGAGAAACGTTGGTTTCCTTCTTTTTAGGTTTAAAATATTTTATTGCTGTCTTTTTGTTTTTTATCACAACGACCTTTTCCTGTTATGTGTCTCCCCCCCCCCCCCCCCCAATTAAACACCCTTCCCTGGTAAAACAGGAAATTGTTCAAGAGAACCAGTGGACACCAGAGCCGCATTTGACGGCATATACAGCATTTGACATCTGTAGGCCCCCGTGTCTCATCATGTCTTCGTGTCTTTTTGGTTTTATCTGGGTTTATTCAGTGTCACAGTCCTTGGGGCCATCTTTCTCCTAGTTCTGAATTCCACTCACCTTTAGTTCCTATATCTCCCCATGCTGCTCAGAATTCCTCATATTTGCCGTTTTTTTAAAGAAACTGAACCTATAACTTGATTAGTAGAGGAATTTCCCACTACTAACACAGGTCAGCATCCCCTCTGCAGCCAGCCAGCCATGCCAGAGGCAGGACTGAAACCCCATTCTGTGGGCACTCCCGGGCTGCTTCTTACTTACCCCATTCACACAGCCCAGTTTTTCAGCCATTCCCTAATCAATGGATGGGTACCAGCTTGGTTTAGATTTCTTTGCTACCACAAAAAGCACTTCTGGGAATATTTTGGTATGTGGAACCTTTCTTTCCGTCTTTGGCCTCCTAAGGACATTCAGTGATGTGACCTCTGGGTCAAAGGGTGTAAACAGTTGAGTGCAGGGGTCCTTGCGCTACTGCCCAGCCCACCCCATTCCCACTGCCTGCTTTAGTGCTGCTGGCCAGCAAAGAATGACTTTCACATTTTTAAAGAAAATAAAATTTTCCTTAAACACAAAAGACACATTCTTAGCCAGATGGTGATAGAAATCTCTGAGCCATCGGCTGCGTTTGGTTTCTTTTTTTTGAGTGAGAAACCATTCCCTGTGGTTTTCCAGAGTGTTTGGATCAGTTCAGGCATTAGCCAACTGCATGTAAGCTTGGCTGTCTCTTCATAGACCCTCTGATATTGAATAAATGAAAGAAAAAACCTTGATTAAGCACTTACTAAGCCCCAGGGCCTGTGCTAAGCTCTGGGGATATGCATACCAAAGGGAGCGGCTCTGCTTATTGGGGGAAATACATAAAGGGGAATTGTGGCCTGGGAGGGTATTTTGATTTCTGGTGTCTGTGGGTTTTGTTCTCCGACCTACCACCACCACCCCTGCCCCGTCACTCGGAAAGTCTTTGGCTTGGTGAGCGGCACTAGAACGGAATGTGATTAGAGGGAGTGATGTGATGCTGGTTTCCCCTATGGTAGGTGTATGGTGGCAGGGCAGACTATGGCTGCATTGAACTGGTTCCGTTTGTAATACTCTTTGGTAGTTTGCAGAGTGTGAGGTAAAGGCTCAGGGTTGTTTTAAAAGTCATATTTCTTTTTATCAGTGATTTGGAGAATTTCTTTCATGTGGTTGTTGAGCATTTGTAAATCTTTTGAAAACCATTTGGAACTTTAGTGTGTTCATCTGTAAAATGGGTATAATCTTTATACTGACTACCTCACAGGATCGTGGTGAAGAACGTGCTTTGTTTATCCAAAAACCCTCTGCAAATGGCTCCTGTTAGGTCCTGTGGTCCGAGGCACAGAAGTGACATCAGAGGTGGGCTAGTGGTATTTTTTTTTTGTCCTGATAAGTTTAAAAACAATTTTTAAAAATTTTAAAACAATTATGAACTTAACAAACACATTTCCTTATACAAAAAAAGAACAGCAAAGGGGATTGTATATGAAACCGCAGACTTTTCTGAGACACGTTTTTGTATTGCTTGAATTACCCTACCCCAGCAGAAGTCTGACCTGGATCCAGTCTGGGCAGTGGGGGAGGAGGTTTGCCTGCTGGTTATTTCTCTGCTCTTTCCGCATCTGAACCCACTTGTCTTCCCATTTCAGAGGGCAACTTTGCTGGTTTTGACTTCTGCTATTTCTTCGATTCGGGGGACTGGTTTTCCTGGGCCCTCCATCCATATTTTCCTGTCCCTGGGAGGCAGGTGCCCTCCTAACTGGAGTTGGAAGGGGCCTTCCTTCCTCTTTGTTTTTCATAAGGCTATAGATTTGGGTTCAGATCCTATCTGTTTTGAATAATTTTGTATTATTTTTCATATGAAAGCACCCAGGGGCCCTCTCACAAATGGACACCCCTCTCCAAAGCTACCTTAAATTATAAATAATTTGTGGGTCAACTTCCATTCAAAACCATAGCTCAGAAGCCCCGACTCCCATGCCCACTTTGTTTCTTAGTTCAAAGCGAAGACATGTAATCAAACCATAGAGCAAAAAGGGGACCAAGATCCCTTTATAATTGGGGGTGCTAAAGGATACCCACATGGCCAGGGAATGAATGGACATGGATGGGCAGTGCCCAACTGGGAAATGCACATGAGTAGCAGATACACATGGGCAGGGCAGCTCCCAGCGGGGATGGTGCAGTCCCCTGGATGCTTTTAGCGGGCCGTCTCCCCTGGGCTGCTGCTCTCTGCTGCCACCTGCTGGTCTTGATTTGCAGTGCTGCCCCTCTGCTGCTGCTGCAGCTCCTTGAAGGATGGAACTTCTGGGAAGCACATGGCCTCAAGCTGTGTTAGAGACCCTTAGAGATCTAGACCCCAGCCTGCTTCACTCAGCCAGCTGGCTGGAAAAGCCCTTGGGTATTTAGATCTGTCTCTTGACCAGTCTAAAATTATATTTGACTTTTCACTCTCAAGACACTCGTTATGGTTTAAGTGGAAAAGGAAGGAGACAAATAAGCATTTATACAGCACCTGCTATGTGCCAGAAACTGTGCCAAGTGCTTCATAAATACCTTGTTTGATCCTAACAACAATAACCCAGCAAGGCAAGTGCTGCTATCATCCCCATTTTATAGTTGAGAAAACTAAGGTTATGTGACTTACCCAGTCACACTGCTAGGAAGTAGCAGGGGCTGGATTTGAATTCGGATCTTCCTGTTTCCAGGGCTAGCACGCTAGCCACTAGCTGGGTGAAGCTGGAGGGACTGGTGATGACTGCTCCTCGCTCTCACTGCCAGAAATCGATCTGCTGTACTGTGTGCAGAGCGAAAGCTGAGCTGGTGGGCAGCCGTGTATCTGACTTAGGTGTTCCTGCCAAGCTCTGGCCTCCTCCAGGCAGCACCAACAGATATTTGGACAGGATTCCCAAGTGTGTGTGTGTGTGTGTGTATGTGTGTGCGCGCTTGTCTGTGCGTGTGTGTGCATGTGTCTGTGTGCGTGTGTGTGCTTGTGTGCACACGTGCATGTGTGTGCGCTCGTGTGTGTATGTAGGAGAGAGAGGAATTGAGGGGAGCAGGAGGTAACAGACAGAAGTGGGGGGAAGAGAGCAGTTGACCTGAAATGTTGACGTGACACGATCCTAGAAGGTCAGAGCTGACAGGCGCCTCATGAGGCTGGACCCCCTCATTTTTTAGATGAGGAAGCCAGGCCCAGAGAAGGTAGTGAGCTGCCCTGGGCCACACAGCGGTGGAGGGACCTCCCAGGGATTAGAACCCAGGCTCTGACTTTCCCCCCAGAAGCCCCCCAGAGGTCAGCGCTGGCCATGACAGCAGCAGGCTGTCTCCACTGCAGCAGGTTTCCAGCAGAGCCCTGGCAGGGAGCACGTTGGCCTCTCTGCCCTCAGGGAAGGTTTGCTCATGAGCTTCCTCCTTGGGGTGGAGGTGGCTGGAGGGGATTTGTACCTGGCCTGGGTCCTCAGGTGACCCCTTCCTCTTGTGTTCTTTGTCCTCAGGAACAACGGTGAGCAGCTGTGCTGACCGCCATGGACCCGGACTGCTATGCCAGCATGCAGGTGGGCATGCGTGTGGTGCGAGGGGTAGACTGGAAATGGGGCAACCAGGACAACGGCGAAGGGAACGTCGGCACCGTGGTGGAGATCGGCCGGCAGGGCAGCCCTACGACGCCTGACCGAACGGTGGTGGTCCAGTGGGATCAGGGCACCCGGACTAATTACCGGACTGGCTTCCAGGGCGCCTATGACCTTCTCCTCTATGACAATGCCCAGATAGGTAAAGCGAGGCACAGTGGGGAGAGGCAGAGAGAAGGGAAATAGTAATAGTGATGATGATAATAGTAGTAGCTAATGTTTATGTAGCTCTTTAAGGTTTGCAAAGCCCTTTCTGTCTATTTGATCCTCACCACAACCCTGGGAGGGAGGTGCTATTATTATCCTCACTTTACAGATGAGGAAACTGAGGTAGACAAGAGATTAAATGATTTGCCCAGGGTCGCAGAGCAGATTAGTGTTAGACGCTGGATTTGAACAAGGGCTTCCTGGCTCCAGGTCCAGTGCTCTGTCCACTCAAAGACACTGAGGTTGGGAATTGGGCCCGAGGGTCTCTTGTGCCCCTGGAGTCGGGCGTGGCTAGGTTCAGGAATCAGCGGGGGCAGTGGCCAGGCCAAGGGTCTCCTCACCGCTTGGACTTGGTAGCCCCCGTCTTTACAAGGCCGTGGCGGGGGGGAGCCGTCTTTGTCCGCCTTCATGGCTCACAAAGCACTCTCATCCTCTGGGGCTGCCGCGGCTTGGGTGGCACGGGGTGGGCAGGGGGAGCGGCGGGTGAGCAGGCGCTGCCCCCCAGGTGTCCGCCATCCCAACATCATCTGCGACTGCTGTAAGAAGCACGGGCTGAGGGGCATGCGCTGGAAATGCAAGATCTGCTTCGACTACGACCTCTGCACCCAGTGCTACATGAACAACAAGCATGACCTGTCGCACGCCTTCGAACGCTACGAGACCGCACACTCGCGCCCGTGAGTTACACGCCCCCCCCCCCTTCCCGGCCCCTCCGCCCGCCGCCTCCTGGTTACATGAGGGACACAAGCAGGGGCTGAGCACTGAACTCTCCTGCCCCTCACCAAGACCTGCATGCTGCCTGCGCCATGTGCCAGGCCTCGGGACGCTGGCGGAGCCTTTGGGATGCACACCCGGCTCAGGGACACCCTGGGAAGGTCTTCTTGGCACTGCAGATTTACTCTTCCCTGGGAGCACCTGGGGGGGGCAGTCACCAAAGAGGAAATAAAAATATAACAATAATAACTGATAGACATTTATAAAGCACCTACTGTGTGCCCGGCACCGTGCCAAGTGCTTTACAAACATCTTTCATTCCTCACCACAACCCTGAGAGATAGCTGCTACTGTGATCCCCATTTAACAGATGAGGAAACTGAGGCAGACCAAGGTGAAGTGACTTATCCATGGTCACACAGGGTCAAAGACCAGGTTTGAGCTCTGGTCTCCCTGATTCCAGGCCTGGCGCTCTGTGCAGTGTAGTGCTCCCTAGACACCCAGCAAGGCACGTGAACTAGATAAAAGTTAGTGCACACAAGGCACTCTGGGAGGAAGGACACAGGCAGTTGGGGGGACTTAGAAGACCTGCAGAGGCTTCATGCAGAAGGTGGTATTTGGGCCGCAGGGACTTTGTAACACAGAGGTGAGGAGGGAGGGCATCCCAGGCATGGGGCGTGGCTATTGCAGAGGCCTGGCAATGGGAAATGGGTGGTCCTGTGTGAGGAAGAGAGAGGCCAGTTCAGCTGCATCGCAGTATGTGGAAGGGGGTGGGGGCAGGGGCAGGGCAGAGAATGCCTGGTCAGGGCCAAGTCGGCTGGGGCTTTAAGGGCTAAGCTCAGAGGCTCCTGCTTTGTTGGAGGGGCGGCAGGAAGAGCTAGGTTGGGTTGAGTATTAGGATCCTGTGGTCAGATCTTGGCTTAAGGAAAGTGATTTGGTTGCAGTGTGAGGAGGCCTGGGAGGAGGTGAGTTAGGAGGTGAGGAGGGCCGTGTGAGCAGAGGTGTTGGCGCAGATAGAAATGGGAGCTTTCGGGGAGCACGGGAGAGCGAGGAGGCCGGTTCAGTGCTGAGCTCCCCAGCGGGGGACACCGAGGAACGGGGGACCCTCCACTGGGCGGGTGCCACAAGCTCTTCCTGGGCCCAGGAGAGGTTGGGGGAAAAGGCCTCCCTTGCTGTGGAGGCCTGGGCTGCCTGAGGCCATGTGGACCCACTCTCCTGCCCCAGCCCTTTAGCTTTGCTCTGGGTGCGAAGGTGCCTTCTCCCCATGCTGGGACAATGAGCGGAGGAGCTGGGCCATCCTTCCAGCCCCCCACCCCCAGGGCACGTGAGTCCATTAGGCCCTCCATCTGCTTCCTGAGGACCCCTTTGGGGGTGGAGCTGCCTTGTGACTGGGGGGTGACTGGGGACGCTGCTAGGCTGACCTGCCTGCCAGTAGGAAATGCCCGGGCTAGACCCTCCAGCCCCCAGCTTGGCTGGGCCATACCAGGAGAGTGGCAGCCCATGGCCCCCCTCTGCCAAGGGCTGCTCAGGCCTCCCGCTCCCTGTTTCCTGAGGCTCGGAGCCAGGCCCTTTCAGGGGCAGGAGGCGGGGGGGATTGGCCTGGACCTGGAAGAGATCCATGATTTTATGTCTTGGGTTGTTGGCCTGGATGCTTTGGGCGCCTGAACAGAATTGTAATAAATCACCCCGTCAAGATTAACCAAATCCGGCCCCGCGACAGCCGAATCCTGAGGAAATGGAATCGGGAAGGGGAAGGCCCCACCGCACAAGCCTCAGACTAACCAGAGGCTGGGAAGCTGGTCCAGCCAGGGCCTTCCGGCTTGCCTGGGAGGCCCCCCCTCAATGAGGCTTCAGTGTTTACAGGGCTTTTCCCACAAGTTATTGCTTTTGAGCCTTACTGGTGAGATAGGTGCAATAGGAATCATCCCCATTTTGCAGATGAGAAAACTGAGGCCCCCAGAGGTTAAGTGACTTGTCCATGGTCCCACAGCGCCAAGTGTTGGGTGGGGGGATTTGAACCCAGGTCTGGATGACTCCATATAAATGTTGTCTCTCTTCTTCAGCACCTCAGAGAGCAGCAAGGGAGGTGCTCCCAAGCCTCACCATCCTAGCACTGAATGTGGGGTAAAGTCCCAGCTTGCCCCTCACATTGGTGTGACTTTGAGTGAGATATTTGCTGTCTCTCGGTCTCATTTTCCCCCCTCTAAAATCAGGGTGTTGGACCAGAGGACTCCTAAGTCTCCTCTTTCATTTTTAAGTCTAGTACATAGAGCCCCGAGACAGGGAACCCCACAGCTCCGAGACAGGCAACCCCTCCCCGCCGAGGGGTTTGTGCAGCTTCCTTCCCAGCCGCGTGCCCTCAGCTCCTTCGGGGCAGGGAGAACAGGGTGCTGTGGTCACAACCAGCTGACCCCAGGAGGCCTCTTCCCTCACAGCCCAGGACCACTGCTGCCCTTGGGTCTGGGCACCAAGTTTGCCCAGAACCCCCTGGCTTCTTGCTTCCAGGTTGCTCTGTGGTCATCTAGCTGGGGAGCTGACAAGGACACAGGGTGTGGAGTGAGGCCTGGACGTGGCCCTGATGTGATTGCTAGTGGGGGGTCCCTGGCAGGGGGCCTGCTTCCTTGTAGCCCCACTGGGTGATTCCAGAAGGAGCCCGTTGCCCTAGGCGTAGGGGCTGCCATCCCAGGCCTCTTCTCTGTGGTGGCTGCTAAGGGCCAGGGGAAGGCTCCACCTGGATGGCGGGGAGTCCTCAGAGCCTCGGTCTCCTGATGAGGGGGCAGGGAGGGCCCGCTGCCAGCGGGGTGGGAGATGGCCTCACCAGCCCAGTGACCCCGCCAATCCAGTTTCATAGAGCCAAAGTGTACGAGTTAGAAGGCAGCTCCCCCCTCGTGGGGCACACATAGCATTAGAGGCCACGCAGGCTGGGGCCTGGTCCAGAGTCACACGCTGGGCAGTGGGAGAGGTAACCGAGAGCCTGTAGGCTCTCTAGAGCAACCTAAAGGTGACGGGATCGTCGATGTGGGGCTGAAAGGGACCTTGGAGGCCAGCAAGCCTAACCTGCTCCTTTTGCAGATAAGGAAACTGAGGCAGACAGGTTAAGTGACTTGCCTAGGGTCACACAGCTAATAAGTGTCCGAGGCAGGATTTGAACTCAGGTCTTCAAGCCCAGCAGTGTGTCCACTGGGTCAGACCCTGCCTTGTTCAGACTTGGGCCATCTCCCCTCTTTCCGTGCTCCACCTCCGGGAACTGTTGGGAAGGTCAGGAATATGGACAGTTGCTTTCTCCACAGGCAGGGAGACTGGATGGGCTCACTTGGGGACCCCTAGGAGCCACTCCTGCTCCATTGGCCCCTGCCTGAAGGGTCTTCCAGCCCCTCGTGAGCAATTATCAGCTCTCCCCTCGTGCCTGGAGTTAGGCTCTCTCTGTCTCCACCGTGGCCCACAGGCCGTGATGGGCTGGCTAACGTCCTCCCTTATTTAGAGGCCACAGGTCTTCCTGTGTGCTCCTGGAGACTCACTGAATGTGGTAGCAGCAGTTGGCTTGCCCAGAACATGCCGGCTCAGCCTGTAGGACCTTGGCCTTTAGCCCAGTCTCTTCAGTTTCCAGCCCCAGTGAAGGTGACTTGTCCAGGGTGCTGTCACTAGTCAGGACAGAGCCCCTTCTTAGAGGTGGAATGACAGGCAGCACCAGGCCCAGAGCTGGGGGGAGGAGGCGTGTCGGCCAGTGGTCCCCAGCAGAGCCTAGGGCTGCAGCAGCAGGGGGACCCCGGAGGGATGGACCCAGGGCCAGACAGGCAAGTCCAGGAAAAGTGTCCACGAGCTGTAGAAAGTGTCCTGCTAGCTGCCCCCCAACCCACACCTCTCTCATTTGTATTTTGGGGGGCCGGTCTGAACAGGAAAGAGAACCTGGCCTGGGCCGTGTTGCAGCGAGGCTGGCCCTCTCCAGGCAGAAATGAGCACAGTCACGCCGGCGGACTTCCTGTTCCCGGCACATAGCACACCGTCATCTGCAGCCCCTGTACCTTTGCCAAGGCTGTGGAAAACAGTTCCCCTTTTCATCATCCCTGCTGTTGGGCCCAGGAGCCTCACCCTCTCCCGTGCAGGCCTGTGCCTCCTCTGTCTGAGCTGCCCAGAACGCTAAGAGGTTAAGGGACTTGCCCCGAGTGGCACGACCTTGAGGATGGCTATCTGTCCACCAGGCCTGCTGCCTCTCTAGCTCTCTTAATGACCTCTTCCCCACCCCAGCCAAAGTGCCGTCTGTCCCATGTCCCATCTCGTGTTTATTGGATATTAACTTAGCTGAGTGCATGTTGTCCCCTCCCCTGTTTGGTATATAGTAGGAATGGTTGCGGTGCAGAGGAGGCAGGGGTGAGGGGGGGTGCTGTCCCTGAGGTGTAACAAGGGGGAGGGGAGTGGGGCTCTAAATAGAGCATATGATGTGCAGGGCAGGCCCCGGCTGGAAGCCGGGTTTGGGTTTTTGACCATGTGACTGCCTGAGCTGTCCATAGGATCTTGAGGAGAAACCAGTGGTTCAAGCCCACATCAGGCTGTGGTTCGCTGGGGCCTGGCTGGCCTGGCAGCTGGCTGTCTGGCCTCCGCGTCCCTGAGAGGGGGACGGAGCTGCGGACCAAGCCAGGCGAGCGCTCATGGTCAGACCAGGGGGCCCGGCTTGAGCAGGTCTGCAGCTCTGGACAGAACCAAGGAATAGGGGACCTTGAGACCTCGGGACAAGTCACATAACTCCCCAGCCAAGGGCTTTTTCTGCCGCCACCTTCCCTTTGGAGTGCCAGGGACTGAGCGGAAGGACCTTGGCCCGTGTGAGACATTGGATCATCACAGTTGCGGTAGAGAGCTTCAGAGCCGCGAGGAGCCCCACAGGTCCCTGTTTAAGCCCTGACCTGAGCTCCGGGGCGCCTCTGTTTGCAGACCCGCCCCACCCCCCCTTCAGTCCCCCCTGGCTTTTAGGTAGCCTGAAGCATTTCCTCGAGTTGAGCTGGTCCCTCACTCCTGGACCGGCTCCGGTTTACCCACTTTGCAGTTTTTAAGCCCATCCTCATCCCAGGGAAATTCTAGTGCTGGGGCTGCAAGGTCCTTGTCCTCAGGGAACTGACAGGTGTCCATTTCTGGACCTGGGGTTCTAGATGTGATGCGACCAGCCCCGACTGTCTTCTCTGTCCCTTTGGCTTCTGTAGACGGGTGACGCCACGGTCACGTTTGCCTCCTGGGCTGCTGTTGCTGTTACCTCGCTCACTCACATTGAACATGCAGTTATCCCATCCCTGGCCTCTACTGGCATAGTTGACTTTTGGAACTGCCTAGGAGAACTTCACATTTATCCCAGCTAAATCTCATTCATTTGGGTCCCCAGTGCCAGCTCTAGATCTTTGTGGAATACGATCAATTGTCTTGCTTCCCACCTGGGTGCCATCCATCTGCTATCTTTGCTTTCATAGGCGTTATTGATCAAAATGGAAACACAGAACAGATTAAAAGGACTGAGCCCTGTGGCACTGACCTAGAGATGTTCCTTTGGGTTGGGTTGACCACGAGCCATTGTTCAGCAATCTTTGGGAATGGCAGAGCAGCAGCTCCTTCTCTGCATGATGGGCTTTATTTTTTTTAATAGTATTTTATTTTTCATTTATAGCGGCTCTTTTTGTGGTGGCAAAGAATTGGAAATTGAGGGGACGCCCATCAGTTGGGGAATGGCTGAACAAGGTGTGGTATATGAATGTAAAGGAATACTATTGTGCTATAAGAAATGATAGTCAGGTGGACTTCAGAAAAACCTGGAAAGACTTGTATGGTCTGATGCTGAGTGAAGTGAGCAGAACCAGGAGAACGTTGTACACAGTAACAGCCATGTTGTGCGACGACTGATATTGACAGACTTAGCCCTTATCAGCAATGCAAGGATCTAAGACAATTCCAAAAGACTTATGATGGAAAATGCTGCCCACATCCAGAGAAAGAACTGTGGAGTCTGAATGCAGATGGAAGCAGACTATTTGCTCTCTCTTTTTTTTTTTTTTTTGTTGGTTTTTCTTTCTTGTGGTTTTCCCCTTTTGCTCTGATTCTTCTTTCACAACATGACTAATGTAGAAATATGTTTAATGTGATCATACATGTATAGCCTCTATCAGATTGCATGCCTTCTTGGAGAGGGAAGAGAGAAGGGAGGGGGTGGAATTTAGAACTCAAAATCTTATAAAAGTGAATGTTAAAAACTCAAAATAAGTTAATTAATTTCTAAAAGTAGTATTTTATTTTCCCCAATTATTTGTAAAGACAATTTTTAGCATTCATTTTTACAAAATTTTGAGTTCGAAATTTTTCACCCTTCTTCCTCTCCCCCTTCCTAAAATGGTAAGCAATTTGATATGGGTTATATATGTGCAATCATGTAAAACACATTTCCATATTAGTCATGTTGTGAAAAAAAAAACAGACCCAAAAGGAAACATACACACACACACACACACGCGCGCGCACACGCGCACACAAATAAAGTGAAAAAAGCGTGCTTCGATCTGCATTCAGACTGCATAGTTCTTTCTCTGGCTGTGGAGAGCGTTTTCCATTGTGAGTCTTTTGGAATGGTCTTGGATCCTTGCGTTGCTGAGAAGGGCTACGTCATTCATGGTTGATCATCACACAACGTGGTTGTCACTGTGTGCAGTGTTCTCCTGCTTCTGCTCATTTCACTTTGCATCAGCTCACACAAGTCTTTACAGATTTTTCTGAAATCTGCCTGCTCATCATTTCTTCTCGCGCCGCAATATCCATTCCATGAGGGGCATTAATGACGGACTCTGACAGATGCCTTGCTGGAATCCAAATACATTATGTCTGTGCTGTTCCCTCCTAAAAAGAAGCAATTAAATTCATCCCACGTGACTTATTAATGACCCCGTGCCCACTTCCCTTTTCACGTGGTTTGGAATGTTCTCCAGGAGTCGGCATCGGGTGCCCTTGCTGCATCCTTCCTGGTGTGGGGCCTTTACTTCTCTCTCTTCTCCATTTCCTTTCAAGACCCGAGCTTCAGGCTGCCTCAGTGGTCTCTCGCAGGATTCGGGACCCCAGCTTGGGTTGGGGCATCTCGCCCAACTCCCTCATTTTATAGATGAAGAAACTGGGGTGCAGGGGAGTGAACTTTGCCCGAGGTCACATGGATAGTAAGCAGAGGTGGCCTTTGAACCCGGGCCCCGGCTGCTGCTTCCCACCCCTTGAGACGGACTGCCCCAAAGTCGGGCACGTGTCCACTTATGGCCAGCCTTCTCTCCCCTTCGTCTGTCACAGTCTCTGAAATGGCACACTCCCTTCTTCTCAAGTTGTCCATCAGCAAGCGTTTATTAAGTACCTACTGTGTGCTGGGTGAAGGCCTTTCTGTAGCCAGTAGTGGCATAATGCTTGATTCTTGGTTGGGCAGAGGGAGGGGTACTGCTGGAGGGGGGAGGTTCCCCTGGGTCTGCACCGAGGTCACAGCTTCCCCTCCCCCTCACCTGGGGCTGCCCTTTGCTTTGCCTGGGAGTGAGCAGAGTGCTCCCATTGATATTAGAAAGAATAATGGGGGGGGGGAATGCATGGGGAGGAAGGGAATAAGTATTAAGTGCCTACTACATGCTAAGCACTTTACAATTAGTATCTCCTTTGATCCTCACAACAACCCTGGGAGGTTGGTGCTATTATAGTCCCCATTTTACAGTTGAGGAAACTGAGGCAGGCAGAGCAGGGTCACCCAGCTAAGCTATTTGGTGTCTGAGGCCAGATTTGAGCTCGGGTCTTCCTGACTCCAGGCCGGATGCTCGATTCTTCTGCACCCCCTGGTTGCCAGGGGAGGAAGATGCCTAGGAAGAACGGTGTTCCTGACCCGGGGGCCTCCCCTCACTCTGGGGCCGGCCCAGGGTTCAGTGCCATGCTCTCTTGCAGAGTCCCTGTGAGTGCCCGCCACAGCCTGCCTCGAATCACACTGTGGGGCATCTTCCAAGGCGCCAAGGTCCTGCGGGGCCCAGACTGGGAATGGGGCAATCAGGATGGTGAGTGGAATGAGGGGAGTGTGGGGCGGCCCTAGAACCCTGCTTTCCCACCTACAGTGACAGTCCCTGTGCCCGCAGGGAGCCTGGCATCAGGGAAGCTTGCAGTCTGTTCCTGCTCCAGGCGGGCAGAGCAGGCCCCCAGGGGCAGAGCTGGGCCCTAGGGACCTGAGAGGGAGGCAGCCCGGGGAGGTCGGCTCGCCCTGCGAGGAGGAACACCTGGCATTGTCTTCCCAGGGGGCGAGGGGAAGGTGGGTCGCGTGATGGACATCCGTGGATGGGATGTGGAGACAGGCCGCAGCGTGGCCAGCGTGACCTGGGCCGATGGCACCACCAACGTCTATCGCGTGGGGCACAAGGGCAAGGTGGACCTCAAGTGTGTGGTGGAGGCGCCAGGAGGCTTCTATTACAAAGAACACCTCCCAAGGCTAGGTACGGGCGGGTGATTACCCAGGATCCTGCCCTCCCGTGTCCCAGGGGTCAGAGGCACGGTGCCAATGATCCGGAAAAGCCATGGAAAGTGTTTGTCCTTCCCTTCATATCAGAGAAGTCTGAATTTTTTTCTTTTTCTTTTCTGGGGTATTTACAGTACCTTATTGTAAAATCTGAGTTCAGTATTTTTTTTTTTGTTATTGGCTGGCCTTAGCGTATCATCTGTGTCATCCACAAAACTCCAAAAATTCCTGTTTCATTTCTTATGCCGACCCCCGATATGTGGAAGCTGCGATGGGGAAGGGGGCCCACGGGCTCTAAGCTGGGTTCCCTTCCAGAGTTGAATTCCGCCTTCTCTTTAGTTTGGGATGGTCCTGGGCATCTGAATGGGTAGAGGGAAGCCTATAAAAATTTCCTCAGCCAGTCTTAAACAGTGGCTTGCCCGGTAGCCCAGAGGAAGCTGGCCCCTGCCCCTCCCACATGCACTCACATGGGGTGCTGTCCACCCCAACTTCAGGCAAGCCTGCTGAGCTGCAGCGGAAGGTGAGCGCTGAGAGCCCGCCCTTCCAGCATGGAGACAAGGTCAAGTGTCTGCTGGGCATGGATATCCTCCGTGAGATGCAAGAGGGCCACGGAGGCTGGAACCCCAAGATGGCCGAGGTGAGGCCTGCCTGCCCATCCCCCCCCGAGGCCACGGCCCCATCCACACCGGTCTCTCCTAGGGAGCAGGGTGCTCAGAGCCGGTCTGGGGTGGGGAGGGGGCCTCAGGGAGAGCAAGCCTGGTTGGATCGCTCTTCAGCAAGGTGGTTCTTGGTGCCCAGCTTGGCTCCAATCTCTCAGCACCAGGAGCTGCCTGCCCACCCAGCCTCTGGGGGGTGGGTAGATAGGGCTGCTCCTCACCAGTACCCCCTGTGCCTGGGGGAGCCACTGAGAAAGTTGTTTCTCTGCCTCTGTTTCCCTTTCTCTGCCCTCCTACCCTTTCACTCCTGTGGGTGCAGTTCATCGGTCAGACTGGAACAGTCCACCGCATCACTGACCGCGGCGACGTACGGGTCCAATTCAGTAGCGACGCCCGCTGGACTTTCCATCCAGGTGCCCTGACCAAGGTGAGTGCTGGAGAGGCAGGCACCCAGAGCTCATTTGACAGATAAAGAAACTGAGGCCCGGGGAGGGGAGGGACTTGGCCAAGGTGACGCAGAAGGACCCCCAAAGCTCCAGCTGAGCCCCTCTGCCCCCCCAGGGCTGATTCGCTTCTTTCTCACCCCTTGCCCTTGCCGACTGAACCCCTCCCCATCCGCTGGCATTTAGGGGCAGGGTCTAGGTCCTCTCCCGCCTCCTGGCCTGCCTCTGGCCCCAGCTCAGCCCCGGATTTTCTCCCGTAGCACAACACATTTTGGGTTGGTGATGTGGTCCGGGTCATTGAGGATCTGGAAGCGGTGAAGCGACTGCAGGCCGGCCATGGCGAGTGGACGGATGACATGGCCCTGGTGAGCGTCCCCTGCCACGTCACACATTTGATGCCATCACAGTCTGCATCCCAGCCAGAAGGGGCAGAATGCTGGACGGCACGGGGACCTCCATGCAGGCCTTTCCTGGGAGCCTTCCCTGGCCCGTTGTCCGGCCCTCCTGCCAGGCCTCCCCGAGGAGCCTTGTCTGGCCCATTGTCTGGCCCTCTTGCCAGGCCTTCCCCTGGCC